ATTATTGCCTCTCAGCCCAGGTTGCACCCCTGGGGAGCCAAGCTCGTGTTGTCTGTGTAGAGTGAGCTGATTTTCATATTTGACCAGGTGTGTGGTTGAGTGCAGAATCCCCTCTGGTTACAAATATTTTTTCGCTTCCAAAGTCAACACCTCCACAGCAGGTAGTAGGGGTCTTCTGATCGTAAATGTATCACAGTTTAGGAAGTATCATTGTTAAGAATTCCCTAGGCACCCCACAGAAATATTTTGCAAACTTGGGAGTGGAATTTGTGGTCAACTTCTTTCTGTTTGGATTTCAAAAATAAAAGTCGTTGGTAATGAATGAGATGTGATCAATATAGTATTCAAATCAATGACCACTTGGAAAATGATGGCTTACATTACAAAATGGCAAAGTGGAATTTTTCAACCTCACATGGGATGACGATTATCAAGGAAAACAAAAACTGTATTCCAGACAGGAATAGGGTATTGGTTGGGCCCTACCCTCATGTTACTCCCCTGGGTCCACACACTTCACCTGATATACGCTGCACCCTTCTAGACAGGTTATGGTAATATAATGACTTGCTGATATTTAACTTAATTGATGGGAAATTTTGAAGTCGACAGTTCCTGTGTATCTTTGTCAAAAATTCAAATACTTCTAAAATGTGCTGGGTAATTTACCTCCTGTTTCATGTTTTATCACATCAAAAACATTTCACCCACACGCATAAAATGCCAGGAATCTCAATTTATATGGTTTTACCCTAAAAATAGCCTGAACAGAATTCCACATACCTAAATGTACAAAAAATCACTAACCAAAACTGGGTGCACTCAGTAACAATGTTAACACTTTTTATTGTCATCTATAAGGTCAAATATTGTAGATGGACTAAGTTGGAATGTATACATCTGTTCTATTGCATTAAGTATTTAAAAAGGCAAACATTCCATCATCTCCTTTTTAAATTACAATGTCTGTAGTTTGGCGACAATAATTCCAGTTCTGTGACTCTTGATTGTATTATTGGGGGGTAGTAATAAAACCTCCTTTTATTCCATTATATTTCCAAGTAAAATGCCGATTTTTGGTGTGTCCATGGTTCAATATGGTTCACCATTCATCACAAACCTACCCATTGACTGCAGCCAAGACCGCAACAAAAGAAAACTGTCAGAGCAATAAATCATATCCCGTTGCCTGGAAAAAAGTCACCAAAAGGTGCCGGAAATATGGGATTAACGGGGGAGGTTTTTTGTATTGCCGTTGGGATGATTGGCATCTATGAATAAAACTCAGGAACTCCTATTGATCCGTTTCTCAGAGGGCTCTGATTAAAACATTCCCACCTGCTTTTGTGGGGGAATATTTATGATGAAATAAAAACTGTGGGGTGAAATTCCTTCACTTGTTCCAAATAGGACAGGCCTGGGGTGAATAGGAATTGATATCCGGTCTGTGGCATTGGGATTCTTTTATTCGCAGCGGCGACGAATTAGAATCCAAGAAATACAAAATAGCAGAATCATTCCTTCATCCTAATTCAACGTTACTCAAAGATGAGTCAATGGAACTTTTTTGCCAAATCATTTCCAGTGAGCTATTGCAAAGCCTAGTTACAAAAAAATCCCTGATAAGATTACATCTTTACGACACAGATAACTACGTCATTTTCAATTATTTTTCAATTTGTAAGACCATAGGACCAAATGATGAAAACAAATCATGCTTGAAATCAAGGGCGTCACACAAACGGTATGATATCCCCCCCCCCCCTCTTAAAAAATGGGGGGGGGGGTGAAATTGTCCCCCTGTCCCCACCGATTGATGCCCGTGTTTGAAATTATGGAAAGGTAAATTCTAAAAACTCAAAAACCTGAATTGAATTTTTCAAAATTTACTTCATTACCATATGGCTAGTCACAAGTGCCATCAGAGGGGGGTACATTTTTGTTCCAAATACAACTAGTACCTACATGTATACGCTACATGTAGGTCATGCAAGAAAACCCAAACTGCACAGTTTTGAAGTCAACTGTTTCCATAAAATGCCAGAAAAGACAAGTGTTAATTAAGGACAGACTACTATGGCAACCAATCCTTGAGAAAATTGCTTGTATCATTTTTGTTTCTTAACCTTGACATTGGATGGACCCCTCCTAATGAACTACACCTGTAGGCTGAACTGTACTGCCTTCACCACTTTACTATGTCAGAGATTTGGGGTCTGTTATTATGCTGTCAAGTCCAATGTTGACAACAAAACTGAGTCACGAGATACAGCCCTGTCCACGTTGACAACCTCCAATTTTCAATGACAAGGGCACAGGGTATGTATACAAGCCCTGCAACCTTGCGAGGTGTGAATGTCAAGGAACAGGCACTTAAGACTTGTAAGGGTCAGACTGGGTCTGAGATGGGAGTGATGAGATGGGGGTAAACTACAAGGAGGTTGCTCCAATAATGCTGGACCTTCGTGGTGCCCCTGGGTCAGAGGGGGCGGAGTGGGTGATTTGTCAAGTCCAAGCTCAACAACTGTGAGGCTTCAGGCCAAGAAAATAGGATGCTGAGGTACTACATGTATGCTCTAGTTATTGGATTGTTGTCTAGGGGTCTTTTCAGGTACCCACATTTTGAATTTTGGTTAAACCCAGTTTGAATTTGGGTATCCTGTTTTTATCTTTAACTTGAGGAAAAGTGATGACTCGGGCATGGAATTTCCAACTTAAAGGTAGAGTCCATCATTTGCAGCCATCCGAAAAGTAACTGGCGTAATCATTGTTGAAAAACAAACTTGGTTGAAAGATAGTAAGGGAACTAAACTCCCTGTGAAATTATTCTTTCTGGGAAGCTGTCATTTTGAAGTAATCAACGAAAGAAGGCATTTCCAACGGTGATTCTTAAGAAGCACCGTAGGAAAATTTAAATTAGTAATTCGTTTTGTTATTCAGCACAGCGCGCACAAGTATTGGAAAGACGCACACGCGCGCGCGCGGTTGTTATAATTCGTCGGATCAGTGCGCGACATCGCGTATAGCTGCAATTCAAAACATGATTCAGTAACTTTTGATTTGAAATTGAGATCTTAGAATGCTGTTTTTCTCGAAATGTACAGCTGAAGCTTAGCTGAAACTGTATCAGGTTAGTTGCTTAGTATCCTTCATTGGATTTTGAACTCTTTTGTTGCTTCAAACGAACAAAATGCACGAATTACAAATGATGGACTGTAGCTTTAAGGCAAATCTTGATTTCTTGTTAAATTTCAATATTAGGAAAGAAATATGAAGGAAACTGGACAACTATCCAGAAAACCTTTGAATGCAAGGACTTGGATTTGTTTGGGTTAATAGATGTGATTTATGACCTTTGTGACACTGTAGACACTTCAGGCATAGTTGTGCAGGGGCACAGTCCCTGATTGGGGCTATTAGGTTTATCAGGGCTGGCTATATAGCCTCATTAACTTTAACACCTGCCATGTAAATTGATTAGAATCTGCGCACTAAATGCGTTAATTCTATCTTGTTGATTTATGACCAGTCTAGGTCTATTTATGTTTGTGAATGTAACAGGTGTAATGTAGCTGGGGGAGTGGTGCAGAAATCTGACTGAAGTTATACACATATTGAAGATCATCCACTGAAATCTATTCATTTCTTGCATCATCCTTCATAGTGGGTTTGCATCAACAACTTGGCTAGTGTGCCAATTACAAGGACTAATGTGCACTGACAGACAGAAATCTGTTAATTTGTGAAATGTGTATTTGTATCTGAGTGATTCATCGCAAACGACCGTGGCAGGACAGACAAGAAATCTCAAATTGCCTTGAAAATGGGTTGTGCCTACAGTATCGTTTTCGTAGGCGCAGTACGGTCTGAGTATGTTGGGAACGGACATGGGTATCAAATGTACTGGCAGTCAATGTTGACGACAGAATGCATTCGCCAATATGCTTGGGAAATATTAGTACACACTTTGAGCCGCTCTTCTTTTCTCAACTTGTCACTCTCTGTTTTCCAATGCGAAGACCCGTCTCCGATTTCACCATGTAGAATGACATACACCACACTCTTCTGCAAACACTCCAGTTTGCTTCAAATGTTCATGTGTCATTCAACAGGTCTCTCATGCAATTGCAAAGGATAAGGTTCCCAAAACAACTCTTACAAAGCGAAGACAACACAGAGAATACACATAATATAAACAATTCAGCCTCATGTTTATCTTTAACAATATCTCCAACTTTATAAACAAAGTTCCTGAAAAAACAACGCCTGCCTTTTTTCAATGCAATATTCAGTCAATCGCCCTCACGACATCTTTAAAAGTTTTGGAGAAAAATGTGTTTTGTGCTCACTTATTGTCCGGTTGTGTTTATCATAATGCTACTGGGTACTGGTTCAATAATCCCAATGCCTATATTTATATCTCCAATCCCCTCCAATCTGCTTTGATATTTTACAACCCCCAGGGGAAAAATAACAGGAAAAGCCATTACATCCACCTCCAAATGTTTACAATCTGGAGAATGCAATCCAAGTCCAGATCAGAACTGCTGGCCATTTTTGGTACAGCAACTGCCCTAGATGTATTGTATTTCATATCATTTAGAGGTCGGCTCTTTCTTTAATTCCCAGTGAGAGAAAAAGTGGGTCAATGTAAACAAGCTCACACAACTTTTGGTGATTTTTATCTTACAATGTACAGCCTGGCTAAAAAAAATCCAATACTTAGCACAATACAGTCTTACTCATCCTTGTTTTATCAACGTAGTCATGATAGTACTGATAAGTATTCTGAACAATAAGTTGGTCAGTAATTAACATAATGAAAATGATTTTTGGTTGTTGAAAGGAGGACTTCAAATTTGAAATTTGATGACAAAATTTAGGCCTTCATGTGACTTTGAAGGTAAAAGCACTAGGAACTGGTTCAACAAACAGTTTTACATAAGGACCACAAATTTGAGTTATTAAATCTCCAACTGAAAACATTTTGAAAAACTCACCTCTGAAAACTCAGTAGAAATTCTTGAACTCTTCTTCCTTCTTCGCTAAGTCCAGATATGAGGCATGGAATCTATGAGTACGACAAAATAGGATTCAAAAAATGTTGTCGAGTCCAATCCAAGCCTGCTCTCTTATGGTCCATGCAAAAAGATATGGGTGTTGATGCAAGCGAACACGGTGGTTGAATGAAAAGCTTAGCACAAGTGCAAGCCTGCCTTACAATGGTGGGAGCAATAGCGCACTGTTTGTACAAGGGCTCAAACCTCACTGGCTATGGCCCTGACCAGAGACACCGTCAGGTCATTTGCCTATTGGACTTTGCAGTGTGTGCACAGTGCTGCTTGAATGCATGGGGTATTATAATGGCTGTATGTACATAGGGGAGGTTATTGCAATGTCAGGGTGGAGTCCACTTAAGACCTAATCACAGGTGCAATAAAATAAATTACTACTGTCTATAGGGTTAGGCCTTGCTCTTTAACCTGCCCAGGAGTCCATAAACACAACAACGTCAATGTTGGGGTAGGTAAGATTTTGTTAAATTCAAAACAAGCACTTGTAAAGGATAAAAGACACAGGCTGGGCCTGTAGACCAACACACACAAGGGTCTAGATGGCTGAGTCCACTATTACAAAATTGTGAAGGTTTGATTGGATATTCCCCCGAGCAAAACAAATGCACTTTGCATGAATCAGTTCTGCAAGTGTCATGGGTGAGACTTGGGGAGGTGGGTTGGAGCATGGAGCTATAAAAAGGATGGAGGAATGGTGGGAGATGCTTTTGTGTAAAGTTAATCCAAACTTTCCAAACCATTTGTGTTTCTTGTGTGAAAAAACAACAAAGGATCAACACTGCTGATCAAACATTCTAGAAATCTGCTAGCTCCCATGTTGGTGACTCGGTACAATTGTCCCCACACATTTTTTGCTTGTTGACTGAACTACAGTACATGTGACCCCCATACCACATTGTAACTCCCTTACAGCATAAATTACATGCAACCTCTGGTTAAACAGTTCACATCCACATCCACCCAAACAAAACAAGTAATCCCAGCTTTCCACAGACCCCATCCATCACCCAGGGAAAGGAAGGACAGATGGAGGAAACACTCTGTAAATCATTCTGGGATTATAAGCCTACAATCTACTCATACTGCCTGGCTACTAGTACTACACCGCCAGACAGGTCGATGGGGATCCATTGTTCATGTTGCGCTACCAGTGTTTGTTCATCTGTAGCCTGCACATTCAGGGGACTTGAATGTTAGGCTCTCATTGTTCATCTAGTTAGGTTTGGCACTTGTAGCATTTATGAAGAGGTCATGCAGGGGTGGTCTGTGTTTAGTAGACAAAATGAAACCTGCAGGTATGATGTCAGGGTTGGATGTACCTGACTACGCTTGTCTGTGCATAAATGAATGCCACTATTGTGTATATTGTATGGTTGAACTTTATCTAACCGCTGCTTTGCAGACAAAATACTGTAGAAAAAGCTGTAGACAAACTACATGTATTAAATGGATATACATGACAAAGTTTTGGCCAAAATTTACCTGTTCCGTTACTTCATGTTCTCCCTACAAGTTTACACGAGAAACTTTAATGTTTAATTTTTTTTCAATTTGATTTTTGATTCTTTGATTTTTATATATTATATAATACGTTTTTAAAAAAATGTAAAAACTAGACCATGTACATGTATGTAACTGAGTGTGCACTTCAATTCCAAATTTTCAGTCAGTCTTGTAATGCTGATGAAGGAATCTGGTAGTTGTTTTACCCTAGTTTTTTATACGATAAATTCCTTCAAGCAATATCTTGAGTTGCTTCCCAAATGAGAAGAAAACAAAATATTGTTGAACACGGCAGATTGACAATGACAGTCCTAATCCAAACTCCAGTTTGCAGCATTCATTTGGGTTCCCAGAAGAATTGCAAGCACATCAGCAAGCCCTACATGAGAATAACTAACCAGGCTTCAGATCAAGAATGGCAGACGACTGAAGCCTCCTCAAGCTGGGATTGACACGCAACATTTTGAGGTCAACTAAAACCAGAAAACTAACACGTGTACCTCCACGAAACGTGCAATATTCTTTCAGCTGGAGATTACTGGCCCGTGGGTTCAAAACACTTCATCGGAGGAAAAACTAACATGGGTACATCCAGCCTGAAGTTTCTGTCCTATGCCAGCTCTCATGTCTCTTCTTGTTTGCTTAGATCAAGCAGCAAAGACGGGGATCACTCAGACCACTTTCCCTTGGGAAACCAGACAAGATATCTTACTTCCTTGGTGGCACAAACATCAACATTTGATACATTCAGTTTATTTTTTTTCACATTGAATTGACAAAAAAGAGGGTTCATTCAACCCATGAAACTCGTTTCAAATGCTGATAAACATGCAGGGTTTTATTTCTAGCCCCAGGTTTGAAAATATAATACATGCGATCTTTCAAAAGGTTCTTTTCAAAGTTTCAAAGTTTGTAGCTGTTGAACCCCCTTTTGCTATGTGTGTTTCTTTTTTTGGCCGCGCCCCCTTGCAAGGCAATGTGACCCCCTTTCCTGTGACCCCAAGGGAAATCCACACCATAATAGTCTGTAGACGCCATATGCACAAAGATCATTTGCGTACATTTTGCAGTTTATTAAATACATTATGTATATCAAAAGACTTTTAAAAACCTCTACACCCAATTACACGTGGCTTGTAAATATCTGCACAACACATACACTGTTTTTTTTTTTAATCCAAGAAAAATCAGCCCTTTTGGTGACGACTCTTGACCCACTTTTATTTCTGAATGACCACTCTGTCTTCAAATAACCCCAGTTCCCTTCCCTTACTCCAGGCCGGTCCAGGTGTTAAGGCAATTTTAATTTAATATGTGTAAGGCTGGATTTCATGATTAAGTTACCAAGCCTGTTATAAATACCAAACGAGCTGGATGCAGCCCCCACCCCCAACTCAAGTATTTTACCAAATGTCGGAATCTCCATCTTCCTACCCCCCCTCATAAAAAAAAAGAAAATAGTCGGTGCTGGGTTTGGCATCAAAGCTTCACTCAAAGTGAAATGTACCATAAATCTTGTTTGTCATAACTGTCTGGTTTGTGAGGTTCAGTGGCAATTATCTGAAACATTACACGGTATCACGTTGCACTATAATGTGCCTGGGTCAGCCGAGTTGTATTTGAGTTTTGTGGGTCAATCACAAATACCTGCAGATGTACAACTATACCGGGAGGTGTGTTGACCCAAAGAGCAAGGAAAATGGGTTTAATGGGCCAAATGGCAAAACAAATCTCAAATTTCTCATCAAACAGTTCAAACCCCTAGACCCTCTGGATGTATGTTGCTTCAACCCGGTGTACTTTAAGGCTGAAAATTTATGAGCGTTTAAATTAATTTTGAAGGAAGAAAATGCTTGATAGCAAAATTTCGACACCAGATTGTGGCATTAACCTTTTGGTGCATGGATTATTTGGATTAGACGCACAGATTGTAACAGTTTTTTGGGGCAGTCACTAGTGACCGACCTGTGCATCAAAACATTTGACTTTACAACATACATTTAATCCTAAAATAAGTAAATGTCTGCAAATGTTTAAAAAGTTCATGTAACGTGGGGGGGGGGGAGGGGAAGAGGGGGCAGAGTGTGTATCTTCATAGATCCATGGTGGCTTCACAGATATCTGCAAGTGTTTGAATATATTTATGGAGTTTTTCCTTGAGAGCAGACTGCAAGTAACAATCCAGTTTATTTCTAAGCCTGAATCTTAATACTGACCCTCAACAGTGATTTGGACTGCGGTGTTTATCCTGTGACCTTTTCTTTCAGGAAAGCTGATCCGGATAATCCCCCAAATAGGAGGGATGAATCACTAGCGAGGGATTAAATCCCTCGCCATACAGGATAAACTGGATTAGAGGCACAACGCCAGGCCTTTCCTGCATAATAATTAATCTACGGATTACAGATTGAAATAAAAGGTTGCGGTTTCAACCTCTCATGACCATGTAAAAGACACTGCACACAGCTAGCAGTCTGAATATCTTTTCTAGAGCTTTTGTGTCTAGGTCTGCCACAATTACATTACCTAGGACACGGACCATTTACACAGCTTAGGAACAAGCAGACAATAGCCATATCTCTGGGTGCTCATTTCTGACTTTCAACTAGTGTGTTCTCAACAATTGTTTGGCCTGTCTACACCACACATCTTAAGGTGTTTTGCTTCAGACTCAAGAAACTATTTCCTCTACTTGTTTTGTTCTCGTAACAAACTAATATTTTATCAAACATTTGTAAAAAAAAAATTCACCATTTTGCTAAATTTGTCAAGTTATCTTAGTACATGCAGTTGAACACACAAAAATAGTCATCCCATTTAGAGAGACATGCAATGGACAACAAAATGTTAAGACTGGGGGGGAAAAAAGATTCACTGATCTAAATAAGGCACTAGGTAGGTTTTGCCTGACTTCAAATGTACAGTTCTGCACAAACATCCCAGAAATCAATTTATCTTCTTCTGTCAGGGATGGCTAATGGAGGGCAAAGAATTGCAACAATAGAAAGTACACTGGTACCGGGCACTAAGAAATAGACGTGACCACCCCATCGTTCTATTGTCAATGACAACTCTGTTATACATCCTACATATGTGCCTGGTTGAGATGCTGTCTGCACTACACATGCACAATGAGCAGCTGAAACCCAGAACATGCCAATCCGGTTCCCTCAACACTAATGTGTGTCAAGAAGTTCATGGTGTGTTTTGGGGAAAAATGGAAATAGGCCACTGAGTGATACATGTACACAAATTGTATGCATTGCTTTTTTATTGTAATTTGGATTTGGCAGAAAAGTACATGCACCTGGAAAAACTTGGCTTGTGCTGGACCCTGCATCACCCCAGGGCCGCTAACAAGATTGTCTGGTTTGAAAAGGCCTTAAATTGAGCCCATAATGGCTAGACTAACTGGATAGACATTGTAGATACATGCACTTGTATCGGGTACTAACAACTGTAGAAGAAACCCATAAGTGTGATTGATTTTAGAAGGTTTATCCCTGCATCACAAATATTTGTATGTTTATCAGTCAAGAGTGAGAATGGTCAAAAATCTGAAATATTGCACTGTGCCAAATGGCCTCATAATCTGTTGAGAAACACAAATGACTCTAGACTGTTTCCAAATCCTTCATGTAGACTAGACAGACAGACTGGGGTATCATGAGATTATCAAGTCATATCCACAGTCATCCAGATCCTCAGAGCCAGTCACAATCAAATCCCCATTCCATTCACGCAAACGCCAGGAGCCTAACCTCAACCCACTCATCCCCACTTCATACCCCCTTCTTTAAACCTTAATACCCACACTCAAACTCAGCTTAGATTTTTCTGCCAGGGTCTTTAATCCTACAGGTTTAGCACCGCGTGCTGTTAACCCCCTCCCTTCATTCACTTCATTCAAACTGACTGCCCAGACTGATCAATATCCAGGTCTTCTCTTTCATTCTCACCTGGATTGACTGGGGTCATTCACCCGATGTCAAATCTTGGCTGTCCGCTTGCAGACATTGGTAACAAAAAACTCATAGAAGCCAAACTTGTTGGTGAACATTGAAGACACTGTAGGAAGAAAGAGCAAAATGACAAGTACGGTGTAATGCAAATAAGAATTCTCGGCGTGATGAACCAAAAAATGATATTCCTGTTTCTTGGAACGAATGATGCAGAGCATGAACATGGATAGCACCATCTGTTCATTGGCATAGCCTTCTGTTGACATTATGTGCAAAAACATACTGTTCTACTATATTAAAATTCAATACATGAACTCCATGTTTCTTCTCCTTTCCAAGTTCACCCAATGTAGGTCAATCTAGAACAATTTCTCAGTGATTAAAATTTACCATTGTCTTTGCTTGCAGCACTGTGCTGTAAAAACAGTGATGGCTGTGATGGCACGCATGATTTATGACAATATCTAAAAGCACAACCTTTCAATAATTCACACCAAAATTTTATGTTGGGAAACTGTGGCACTGCACATCTGTGTTTGTATTCACAAGCAGAGGGATGTTTGTAAAGCTTAAGTAAATTTCAAACACTTGATCATCATAAGTGACTTGTTAACACTTTTCTGTTTGTCTGTTAAGAGCAGACAGAGTTTAGCAGGTAAACAACAAGTTGAAGACATTGTAAAAAGAATTAGTCAGGTCAATATACTGTGACTTGCTTCTAGTTAAACTTAATCTAACTTCTGCGCAAGATAGCAGCAACATGATGCACTGAAGTGCTATATATATCCCTTATTAGCTGCAAACCCAAAACATTAATTGCCCTTGGCTTTAGTGTACAATAATAAAAATTGGCTGAAGGAGAACTTGAACCTGTGTTCTTGAGAATACCATATCCTATGCGCACTCTTCTTTCTCCAACCATACTGTTTAAAAGTGAACTTACACATTTTAAGTTTCTTTGTTGTTTAGTTGATGGGTTAAGTTGAGATGAATTAATGATACACCAAACTACCATCCTCAAGCACAAACTCGCATACTTAAGCCGTGTCCGCACTGGACTTTTTTTTGGGAAGGTTTTACCGAGACGATGGTAAAATGAGAAATGGTCAAATGTGACCACTGTCCGCACTTGGACTTTCGACACGGGAAAATTTACCCAGACCGCGTGGGAGAAGTAACCGAGCTGTCACAGTGTCAGTATAATGACTCACCGTACACAGAAAACAAATTGCCGATCACATTTTCAGCCGCCGATACGCACAGTATTATTACACACGCCATTTGCATGCACAACATAATCGTTTACACGATATTATTTCATCTTGACACGCTAAATCTTGACGAAAAGGCCTATAATTCTGACGCATTTGTGATGCACGTCGTCGAAGCCATGCCGCTGTACAATGTTCCGTGCGGCAGCAGTGCCATCAGTATTCGTTGGTTCCCATCGCATGCTTACAGAATCGAAGCTATGATGTGGGCCAGGAACCAGTGACTACGGCCTACGTACGGTACCGGACCATGATGTTCAGTGCATGACTACAGTAGCGTATCAGGATGAATTTGGATCGTAGAAAATAACATACATCGGTGGAGAAAGAGAATTTCCGCAAATTAATTCTCAGAACGTGATCTCTCTTCTCTGTGTATGTATTTGTCCGTTGAAATATATATTTTAACGAGATTTTACCGCTCCGACTTGATGATACACCGCAGCGTGTTTCTACAAAATCTTTGGCCACTGCACGTGCAGGTTCGTGCGGTCTCTGTATGCATAACGGGGCGCTCGGGCCGGATGTACGCTTTCCTGAGCCGCTTTTACCGACTCGCACTGTCCGCACTGGACTTATCGTCTCGGGAAAAGTGACCTGGTCATTTTTCCTGGGCGCGTGGGAAGTTTTCCTGGGCAGCAGTTGGCCAGTAAAAGTAACCGCTGGACTCAGGAAAAGTAACCGAGAGGAAAACGTCCTAGGCTGTCCGCACTGGACTTAAAATGGGAAAAGTACCCATAGTCTCGGTTAGTTTGACCAAAAAAAGTCCAGTGCGGACAGGGCTTAAGTGACTCATAAAATATATCCAGAATGAAATAAGATTAGATCAGCATACAACAGTGCAATTAGCTTAAATGAAGAATTGGCCAAATCCTGGACTATAAGTGAATAGTATGCGCAATCTCGGCTACAAACTTACCAGACTCATCTCCAATGCATGAAATGATCAGTCACTGTCTGGTGAGCAGGAAGGACAGAGGGAGAGGGGGGACAGGATCAGCTAGTGACGATGCCTGACCATGGTCTGACACAACAATCACACGTGTACAAGGATGGAGATCCTCACCATATGGCATATGAGTGTTCAGGGTGAATCTCTGAGCACACTCTAATTGGCTGGTCGGCTTTCTCAATCCACCTCCCGCCTGTGTGTTTCTAATCAGCTAATAGCTTGACTCTGTTGAGGGTCCCGAGTCACACCTCGTGTCTGGGAGCCACCGGAGGGTGATGATGATGATGATCGTGGTGCTGAATCACTTAATCCGAGATTACATCAATCTGGGAAGGTGAAAGAGAGCGGAAAATATTGAGAAAACATACTTCTCTGGTTACATTAATGCCGGTCTTTGTTGCCTGGGAAAAGTAGAGACTTTCGAAGTACAAAATGTACATGAATGTGTTCAACTCATACTGTGGTTTTAAGCTGTTTCACAGATACTGTCATCTTTGTGGTCACGTGGTAATCTCCAGGGGGCATTTCAATTGAAATATGTCCCATCATGCCGTTGTATCCTAAGCATGATGGGATGTATTTCTATTGAAATTCCCCCCATTACCACATGACCACAAAGATAGCGGGTATCTGTCAAACGGTTTAATTTTCTGTAAGACATCATTCCTGTTCATACTCCAAATGACCATTGAGCAAATGACCATCACCTACATGTACAGTGTCACATCATTAGATTTTCACAAGAGTCACAGATTTCACTATGACAAAAGCAACAACCTTTCAGGATATTGCTGCACCTTTAAGATCAAAATCACCGTTTGAATTGGCCAACTGACTTTTTGGTAGCAAACCTAAAATTGTTGTGGCTAGAAGCCAGACTACTTGAAACCCACAACTCAGGATTTGATGACAATACCAGGCTTACCATAAAACCACTCACATCTCATTCATCAATCACTTCACACCATCCAGCCAAAACTAATAAAAAACACAATGAAATTATCCCCCCAATGTGTGGTTTTACTGGGCCAATTCCAGCCACCACTGGCCAGAGCTGAATTTCCAGCCACTGTTGATCCCCCACCGGTCTGTTGTAAAAATCTCCCCAAATTGTGGAATGTTTTCACACCTGGTTTAGCCAATCAGTCACTTGTACCGTGAGTGAAACAGTTTGTCTGGAAACAAATTGGATGAAATTACCCATCTTCAGTATTTTTACGAGAGTGAAGACACACCCAGAGCGTTGTGTACATCATATCTGTACCATATGTTGTGGTACAGGATTTGGAAAGAACAACACAAATAAGCATTGCCACATCTGGCTAGAAAAAAAAAAGCTGTACTGTAGGCTGCCGGCATTGTTATCTGAATCAGAACAGACACGTTTTTTGGGGGGGGGGGGTGGGGGATGTTTAGAGATTTGTTTATTCATTCATTCTTTAACATTTATTTCAATGATGTCATTCTGTGCAAAATGTACAAACATGTAGAAAAATACATAAGGAATACAATAATATGATATTTGACAGATACTACTGACCCCCCCCCCCCCCCAGATCTGCCACTGAGTTAACTGTTATTCTCTGGAAATCATCAGCTCCCATTTCAAATTGGGTCTGTCGTGAACTGATACAACACATACAGTATACATTATTCATTCATGAATCTAATGTGACATTTCCTGTCCAAGTGGAAATATTCATTAGACGTAGATTTGCAGCATTTATCAATATAGTTATCAGAATTTGGTCAGACAGATCAATCCATGCAGTCAGAATGAATTATCACCCAGCCTTCAAACCAACTGCCTAACCCAAGGTTTATATATAATGATCAGTCAACTTTTGACCTTTCCCGTCACTTCAGTCATTTCTCAATTCAATTTTCAATTTGATTTCAGTTTTTCTGTTGTCCAAGCACCTGTTTCAAGTTTCAAAATTGATTGTTGAAGGGGGTGACGATTAAACACACATCCATGATGAATGAGTTATGACTTGTGAGTCAGACTGATTATAATTCAATGCGGACATGAGTGTAAGTGAGTTAGTTCAAGTTGACTTTGTCTCTTTAACTAAATATCCTGTGTTTGCGCAAAATGTTCTGGCTTTGTGTTGGAAATCAGAAGGCCACAAGTTATACCTGTACATGTATTGTATAGAGCCAAAGTTAATAAATTATGTGAAAACACAAAAATAAAGAGCATAGAAACTGAATCTGGCCCAATATCTGAGGCTTACAGTTTCACATAATTTGGGAGACTGATGTGATACACAATGTATTCACAATGCATGCATCTGAACATATGCTTTCTTAATGCACGAGTGAACGATAATTACATCTGTAAAAGTGCCATTATTAATTCATTGCATTTCCATGCATATTGTGTAACAGATACCGAACCCTACTTTGAAGTCATTGGCATTAAGAAATCCTGTATTTGAATCGTTTGTTTTAGAATCATGCGAATGTATCTATACAGTCCAAGTGCAAAAATTGAATCAAAATATGGGCATTCTGTTCTGAGAATTTTTATCTCTTTACAATTAGGCAACAAATCAGATTTTCATTTTGTGATGATGGAATGGGAAATTCCCATTATTGACTCCCACTTTTGCTCTACTCAAACTTGAAAACCAAATCTGCAGCAAGATTTGAATATATCGTGAAGCCCACCGACCTTACAACTCACACTTTCACAGTGTGTCCTACACAATTCCGTCCAATCTCTTCAAATAAGATTTCCCAAACATAAGTCGAAACGTGCTGATGAGGTTAAAAGGAATATCCCCATCGATTATCTGTCAGGCTCTTTCCTCCATTAATAGCTCCGTGAATTTAACCAAAATCCGCAGTTACCACACAACCACCCATTCTACAGTCATCCTATATAAACTTTGCTTCCCATTGTATTGTGCCACATCAGGTTTTCACAGACATGTTTATGATGACAAGGTTAACAGGGATATCCCCATTGATTTCCTGTCAAGGATCTAGGCCTCCCATCCATCATCTCCGTGGAAAGGATGGACAATGTCCTCCGATCCCATATATCTTGTGAATGAGGAGACCTTGGGATGTCTGGCCACTCAACAATCCCACCCAATCAGCTCCCAATTCTTCATGCATCCCACCATCAGCTGGTGTGGATGAAAAGCTGGTTTTGTTGCTGGTCGTTAATGTTTATTTTCATGTTGGTCTGAGGTAATAACCTGAAGGGTTACAGACAAGCTTGACCTTTGATGGTGGATCTAGGGGCCAAAAGCTGACCAATGTGGCAAGCAAAAACAGACTTCCAGCTAAAACATCATAAGAATCACAATGCATGTGACTGGTGACCAGCTGATTTTGCTCATTCCTACTTTTTGAGAAATTGATTCCCCTTAACGCTTTGTGGCATTTAAATATAATTCAAATATATGAAAGTAATAATCTGGTATATGGTGTTGTGTATTTATACAATAAATCCAGATTTTTGGGTCATGATGGCCATTAGTGGATATGGTTTTCCTTTTCGTAGAAATTGTGGGTGTAGTTTCATTTACGACACAGTGGTGGTTTAATTCCTTCCTCCATGGTTTAACGCAGAAAATGTCACCCATTTTGTGGAATGCAGACAGGCAGTAATGTTCTATTATTAACATGACCATATGTGGCCAATTCATGAGAGAAAAGGTATCGTGGCCCCTCCCACAATCTAAGCCCTCTCTCCATGATGGCAATGCTGCTGACTGCTGAGCAACATGAATGAACCACAAGAATAATGTAACACATCATGAGTCTCGGTTCATGGTCATTGGAAGAACATTCGCTCAGCGGGCTGCCTCACACACTGCCTGGGTTGAAAAGAAGAAAGCGGAAGTGGTGGGAACATATTGAGAATTGAACCTTCACGCTGGCTGAATATCAGGAATGCATGGGCAATGCGCGACAGGAGGCCTTTCATGAAGTAGTGGAAAAAACAGGCACTGGAAAGAACAAATGTCTCTTTCATCATTTCATGCGGGTTAATAATTTGATTATGTGGGCTTCCTGAAGATTTCAGCGGATATCATATTACAGATTAACTAGGTCTTTGTGGAAAATGTTATCGACCTCTTACTGTGGTTGCAATAATGAGAAATCTTGTTATGCAAGACATGCACAACTGATAAATTGTGATTTGAAAAAAAAAAGAAGTTTTAAACAGTAGCACTGAACTATGACATGTGATATAAACTGAGGAAAAATTTTACAAAAACTTGGTGTTGACATGTTGAGGCTACATTGCTTCACAAAGTTTAGATAAATGCACTTAAGGTCTAGGCAATTTTTAATTGTCACACAATGAAAAGTCCATGAAATGATTCCCACCCCCCAAAAAAATTCCAAGGCTATCAATTTCAAAAATCTGGATATTGCAAAACAATTTAGACATGATCATGTTTAATCGTTTGAACATACATGCCATGATAAAAAATTATTGACCGATAGATGAATGAGACGTTAAATGTACGTTGGCACACCCTACTGCAGCACAAAATACCTTATCATCACAAAAAAACCCAATGTCTAACAGATTACAAACATTGCGAAATAATGAGTAAATATTACTTCAACAATCGTCCATTGTCATCATCTTATCAATTAATGTGACCCTATTTAGATAAGACTGGAGCATAGTTTCTTCATCGTTTCCTTGTTATCCCAGTAACTCTCAAGTGTTATGATACATGAGCAGCTCAATCATGCTACTGAAAAAAAAATAATTGGTTGGGTTTAATACAATCTGGTACTACGCAACACCTAACAAAAGGTACATCAATCAGATGCATGCTTTGTGAATATTGCTCTGGGCACCAGCTCCCACGCAAGATGGGAAACTATGTTTAATTTTGTAGATGCAAAGTTTTTCACACAAATGTTTAAATATTTAAACTCAGCCAACACTTTACAAAGGCTGCAGCCTGCCTGGCAGAATTCAAGCATTGCACACAGCTGTTACAAGTTTCAAATGGCAAACCATCCAAGCCCACAAAACATTCACACTACCATCAACAACCAATCCCGTTTACTATCAGTATCACAGCGCTAGCCAAAGAAAAATTGTACCTTCAAGGCTTCAATCACAATGACAGCGGTCTTTAATATACATGTAATTCACAGTCTTGGTACATGTACTTCCTCTTTTACGTGCAAAATTATGATGTATGACAAATGCAATAGGAATGTGACAGCCGATCAATTCATTTTGTTCCCGGTGTGTATAGTGCACTTGATTATGAAACTCAAGTGAATACAAATATTTGCTGGTAGGTTGATTTCTTGTCCATAACAATCGTTTTAAAAA